TACGTACGTACGTACGTACGTACGTACGTACGTACGTACGTACGTACGTACGTACGTACGTACGTACTACTACTACTACTACTCTCTCTCTCTCTCTCTCTCTCTCTCTCTCTCTCTCTCTCTCTCTCTCTCTCTCTCTCTCTCTCTCTCTCTCTCTCTCTCTCTCTCTCTCTCTCTCTCTGTGTGTGTGTGTGTGTGTGTGTGTGTGTGTGTGTGTGCGCGCGCGTGTGAAAGAGAGAAAAAAGAGTAAATGTATAGTGTACAGGATGAAGAATTAAAAAAAAAAAATGTCCCTAGCCTCTATCTAACACGAGCTATAAAGGGAGGACCCCTCCCATTGAAGAGGTATCTAATTGAATGATCTCATGAAATCATCCCAACCATATTTCTCTTTCTGTTAAAGACATTGTCAACAACCTCTTGATGGTGACTGTGTCTAAAAGATAACTAAAACTATAATTTGCAATTAAAACTAGACGCAATATTTCAGAAGTCAACGCTACTATTCCTTTCAGTTGTGAGATTATATCTAAACCAAGGAAGTTGAAACACATTATTAGTCTCGAAATGGATTCTTTAGAACTCCTTTCTTTCCAAAGATCATGCAGTAATATGCTAGTAAAAAGATTGTAGCTAGATTTAAGTATGCTAATGCATCACAAACAAATAGATGTGACAACTTGCAGATCAATGAACTTGTAAAGGTATAATTTAAGGAGTTTCGTAACAGTTAAAGTATCATGCAACATGAGGTAAGTAACAGCCGAGGTAACTATTCAATAACAATGCCAAAGAGCATAGCAAACGATTTTAACTATGGTGCAAACTGAAAACAGAGTTTCCGACCAATTTGCATTCCAATATATACCATCTAACAACATAAAATAGTTGATAGTTGGCATGAATCACTGTGTAAAGATAACTTTGTACCTTCCATCCTACAACTATGTACTAATAATAATACAATGAATAGGTTAATTGCAAAAGTACTATCCGGAGAGAAGGAGGCCTTTATGTTCATGATGATTCATCCATCACTATTCAATACAAAGAGTCCTATATATCATAAAATGAAGATAGGAGGTTTGGTACAAATTGTCATTACTTTCTCTCAATGCAAAGAAAATTAAGTAAAAACATAAAAGTACCAATTTATCAATAAACTAGTACCAGGGAGCCTTGTTGATATGATAATAAGCCCACTTTAATTTGTCTAGGTCTGAGTCATCTGAATGCTCCTTTAACCAATCTCTTAATGTAGGATTATTGTACCACACCTGAAAGTAAATCCAAAATTTTGGATTGTAGGTAGAAAACAGTATAACGTAAGAACATTCAATTTGTTTTCATCTATATCCCATTAAAATGAAAACAAAATTAGAAATCAAATATAAATGAAGGAATTAAACAATTGTTTCCACCAGTAACGACCTGTTCATAGAAGACATCATCCAGGACTCTAGCAGCTTTAATGATATAGACCAACGCATCCATGTCCCCTTGAGAAAGCCCGGTCACCTGCCTCAAAAGAAAGAAACACAAAAGTACAACAATTGGCATCAGAGCTGGTAATAATGCAGACTACAGCCTTAAATCCAACAATAAGAGCAAGCCAACTTTTTAATTATCTTCATTATTTCGCGAGATTAGTCGCCTAAAAACCATGAAAAATGCAAGACTGAAGATTTTTGGGAAATCACAAAAGGATTGAGAACAATCCCCATCGAAGCAAAACAGCAAGACCACTAAACTTTTTGTTTTCTATCATTCAAAAATCATAGGGGAACTGAACGGAAGCCCATGTAGAGCTCAGAAACGGCCATTCCAAGGAATTATAGCTAGCCTACAAAAAGCTTGAGTAAACAACCATGTACAGTTGCAATAATTTGAACTCAAAAGGAAGGAAATACGGCATGGATAAGATCGAAATGGGAAAACAAAAAGGGACAAATGATTAACCTCAGAATCAAAGGAGACCGAAGCATAACGATCAAGTTGCTTTTGAAGAGACAAACTCCGTTCCTTCTTATCCTCCTTATACCTTAAGAAAAGTCATAAAGTAACATAGTAAAAGACTTTAGAATGCACATTGAGCACTACAAGTTATACACACCCCAAAAAAAAAAAAATATGTAAGAGAAATGCATCTTTTTCTTATTTATGAGAAGTTAAAAAGACATTTACTTCTTGTTAAACCAATTATATGATGCCCATCTAAAACTTGTCTCACAATTAGAAATTTATTTGTGCATTTCAATCATTACCTGCTAAAATTTACATACATGATTTGTATAAATAGCATACCTTGTCTCAATTATATTGAATAATTGACCATATTGTCCAGCAACATCATAAGGGACATATTCCTGAGTCTTGTTCGCAAGTAAGCTTTTGTATTCCATGTAAGGTACATACCTAACAGCTGAAACTTCCTTTCCCTAACAGCCAGCATATAGAAGGAAATGTCAGTAAATAAATGGCTTATTGACAAGTTGTGAACAAGCAATAATGTAATTGGTTCATGTGTGCATAACAACAAATGAAAAATCAGATAATTCTAAGAATATCCTAGAACTTTTTCATGTGGGCATAATAACAGATGAAAAACCATAAAATTCTAAGAATATCCAAAATAACCATCCTTGAATTATAAAACTTGTAAATTTTGACTGTGATTTTCATATTTGGGATACCAAAGAAAATCATCAACGTGTGTACTGTAAGATGACCAACATACTCAAGAGTGCTCTTATTGGACACTGATGAAGCCAGCCCACACACCTATATATTCATGGAAGTGGGGTCGACTTGAGACTCGCCTGGTCGACTCAATCAGTCATGTTCTGAAGGTGGTTATGGAAATAGCCCATCTTGTGCAAGTTTTGGCCAAACCTGATCAGCCTAGTCGAGTCAACCCAAGACTCTTTTGAGCAAGCTAGATCTATGTGAATAGAATGAGCAGCATACTAGGTTTATATGTTATTTTAAAGTTGCATAGGTGGTTTAACGAATTTCTAGAACATAAAACATAACATAGCTTAGTTTTGCTACTTTTTATTTTACTTTGTCTCCTATGATATTAGCTCAATTTTATTTCTGTTAGCACCCAGTAATTTCTTTTTCCTTTTTGGATTTACTGTCTATTGTTAAATTGACCCACCTGCTCAAATTGCTTGAATCACCAAGCCAACCCAATCCAATAACTAATGAAACCAAAGGCCAGGTTCTCGAATAGTTATCAACTAATTGAGGCAGTGATTCTTTTTAGTATGTAAACTATAGGTGGAAATTGGATCATAAGAACACTGGTGACCATGTAATATATTTCTGCTTTTGATTTCCTAAGGGCCATGCAAGCCACACATTTCAGTTAAATAGATGCATCAGGAACATTGTTATAAACAACCCAAAGGATACACCCTTTTACTGAATCCACATACGTGCATAGATACATCGATAAGAATTTTGAAACTTAGGAGTTTAATCCAACAAGCTCTAATCTAGATAAATGAGCAATTAGCATGTTTAATCCAATGAAGAAGGTGGTTTAGAAATCCAGGTATTCTCAAGTGCCATGAAATCATAAAAGCATGAATTACGCACAAAGTTATCTTCACTAAATAGATGAGAAAAGACCAATGATTTTTGAACTTGATATTCTGCACGAATTGCAAGCACTACTGGTCATCAAGTTCAAGCAATTACCTTAAGATCAAAGGCTTTCATAGGAATAGGAGCAAGAGTTGTGACCAGGTATACAACATTATACACATCGCTCTTTCCATCACTTGTCACACTGATCACCATTCAAAACATTGACCAAATAAAAATTCTGCAATGTGTAATATTATAAATTAATAGCCAAGCACATAGCCTTGATGAACTTTAATGTCATGGCACTATACTACAAACATTTATTTTTTTCAGTGTCAAGTTAATTCTCAACATATCTAAATTCGCCTGACAGAATCTTTCCATGACCAAAGTGATCAATACTAGTAAATAGTTTCGTGAAGTATATTACAAAGAAATTCAATAACATGGAGTAGTTCATGGAAAAAATCAAAGTACAAACTTTTTCAGCATAAAATGGATGTTTACAGAGCTGGAATCAGTTTTTGCATGAAAAGCCATCTACAAATATTATTAAATTATATCTTGCTAAGTAAAAATACCAGAGCAGTGACAAGTAGCCTGTTGAAAGGTCATTTTCTTATTTTAGCAGGCCACACCACTGTTACTATGTCAATTTTATCTAGAATCTTGGCCTTCTTCATATGATAGTTATAGCAGCAGTAGATTAGGCAAAGAGGACACACTGGAATCCACTGCAGCTCTGGAAGAGGTCTATAATTGTTGGTTGGAGGGGAGCACTGCATGGAATTGCAAAATCGATGTGGCATAATTTGAGCATAACAGTATCTCAGGAACTCATGGGCTTGATGAACAGTTTATTAAGAGGAAAAGCAACCAATTAACCAATTGGGCAGATCTTTCTTTATCGACTAGATCAGCATAGGATCCAAATCTGAGACCATATGGTGCAATTGTCACCATTGAAACCATCAAACCATGCTCTGTTTCCCAATCTGGAGGAAAGGCGACAATATGGGACTTCATAGGGGTAATTGGGGATGACTTGGCAGGAGTACCAACAGAGAGTAGGTCGCGTAAGTCTTAATGCAGGAGTACTGGACCCTATGTCATTCATGCATTTCGCATCCGAGAATTAGCATTCTGGAGAAATATAATAAAGAGGCACCATGCAATCTACTAACCCATCTGGAAGAAACTCAAAAATCAACTCAAATGCATCTTCTGGTAAGTCCAGACCCAGTTCTTTATTAAGCTGCTTCCTGAATACATGACAAAGAACTAGTAAGGCACAAACTGTACCAAGAAACCCAACCAATCAGCATGAAGCTTCAAGGTAACTTCTTTTCAAGGAAATTCAAGAGAATCGACAAAAATAATAAAAGAAATGCAAAAGTTTCTAGTAAGTTTGATATACATAAACGAAAGAGGATATATTATGATACCACCCTTAAATCTCAATAAGAGTGAATTAGTTATGCATGCTAATAAGGAAAAAAACAAAAAAAGTATAACAGAATATGCACTCTGACAAAAGCCATAGCCAAATTGAAATGAAACATAATCTCACTCCATCAACATAAAGAGATGTTAGGAAGTTGTATGAATATTTATTTAAACTCCAGGTCTAATGGGGAAAAGACATGCAAAATATTGGACATCAACATTGAAAACTGAAATCTCTCAATAACCCAAAGCAACATAGAGATATATTCAACGGCATGAAACAAATGCCAAAAAACACAGAAAATGAAGTAGATACTGTAAGAGTTCCCATCAAATTATATTGCACAATACAAACTTGGAAAGATGCGCCCAACAAAGAAAACATGTCCTTTCATCTCTCTCAAGGAAAGAAGACATCTCTCTCAACGAGAATATAGGCTTTGAGCACAGGAATGATAGCCCAATATAAGGTCAGAGATCCCCGAGTTTCTCATCACATTCCACCAAAAAAATATGTTGCTTGGCAGGTCGTCAAGCATATAACAAATGATATTTCTTTTCTCTTTCTTAAGTTAAATTACCCATATATTGGAGCACAAACACTGTCTAAGTACAAGGTCCCTGCAACTAAGATGGTTTAGATATCAAATTGCATACACACCTTCTCCATTAGTTTTGCAAGCATACCCATTTTTTCTTTTATTCTTTTTGACAGTTATTAAGCTTAAACAGACTTCAAGCGAGAAGGTACACTCAAAGAAGACATGAAACAAACGGAGAAAAACTCTGATCTGTAGTATAAACCTTAATGAGCTCACAAGATTTTCTGAAAATGATCCCACTAACAAATTCCACATCAGGCTGAATATACTAATATTGCAAGCAAATCAAGTGAAATCAGATCTTCCAACCCAGTTTTCCTCCGAATTGATCTAAGTTGTTTCATCTAAGTTAATATGCAATATTGGAGAAACATTGATATAAGAATTTTCACCAGTCAATAACGATAAAAAGAAAAAGGATACACCAGTGTAGAAATGAGTTTGTATCATCCCATTTGCATAAGATAACAAAATCGACAACCATCACCCGAAGCTTTTGTCAAATACAGGAAATGTAAACGGATTATAGTATAGCATGTATCAGACGCTAGAGCTGTCTAGGGGCCACCAATGGCTTATCGTTTTTTTATAGTTCTTACAAAACAATGGCATGAATATCATTTAAGAAGTCTACAAAACACTGACACTTTACAGAGGAGCAACGCATTATCAATCAAACAAAATTTGGTATAAAACCACTATGAACCATTATTAGATTCTATAAAAATCTTCAAATACCTGGCAGTTAGAAGAGATTTATCACCAGCTGATACATAGCCGGCACTTGAAACATCCCATAAACCTGGCCACAAATCCTTGCTATCGCCTCGTCTCTGAAGAAGCAATTCTTGGGTGCTCTCAGAAAAAACCCAGACCTGAACAGCTTGACCATAATCTCCAATTTTCGAATTTAGTTCCCTAATTAGCAACAGAATTTGCACCAAATGAGCTTCAATTCACATATTCACATATACCTCCACAAAAAGGAACCCAGTTAGCCAATATTTATAAAGGAAAAGTGCAAGATTATGAACAAATAAGCATTTGACAAAATCAAGAATGAGAATTACTCACAATATTTGTTCTCTGTAAGCGCTGGCAATCTGAATGGCATAAAGCGTCCACAGGAACCTTTCAAACATAAGAAAACTTACAATTTAATACAACAATCATAATCAAACTGATGAAAATTGAAGGATAAGAGACGAAACCAAAAAAAAAGGTGGAGAAATAGAAATACAAGACTATGCCTTTCTTACATTAATTAACATTAGAACAAAAAATGAGAAAACAAAAAGTAAATTATTCTCCAGTAGTAATTAATAACAACAGTAATCCTGGTAAGCACATATTATAGAATCAACGATTTGGATTAAATCAAACAAATGGTTTGGAGTAGAGTCAATGCCAATGCATCTTTGTATATTGAAGAGAGAGAGAGAGAGACCTCATTTTACATAGCATTGAGAACCCTCTCCCTTCTCCCATTGCCATGAGTCTAGAAATTTGCAGAGTCTAGTTTGCCCGCCTCCCCCATTTAAAGGATCATGGATAAGGCTAACCCTAATCATCTTTTCTAGAAGATTGGTCCCAAATTGATAGCAGGTGGCCCAAGAGATAATAAAGTGATGAAAAATGAATAATTCTTCAATAAGTTGAAACGTGCCATGAGATTCGCTCATGAAATTTGACACGTAGCAGTCTGAATTTGCAGAGAGAAATTGAATCCTTTCAATTATTGAAACGGAGGTTATGGCGACTAGTGGAAGAAATCACCTCCAGCTCTTTTCCAAATTTCCTACCGATAAGGATTCAGCCTCGGTTATTGCATTCCGCCAATTATTGGGGTTTTCAAGTGGATTATAGAGAGCGAGATACTGGGAATTTAACGCAGGGATAGTGAGAAACCGTGGAACTGTAGTTTAAAAAAAAAAAAAGGAGAGATAAGAGAGAGAATGCTCGTTCTTTAGAGGTAGAGAGCAAGTTCGCAGATTAGAGAAGAGGAAGAGCGAGAGGGAGAGGGAGAGGGAGAGGGAGAGTTGTTTGGAAAAGCGAGACGTTGTAGCTTTTAGAGAGAGAGAAGAGGGAGTTCGCAGTCTAGAGAGAGAGAGTTCTTCGGAAGCAAGTTCTAATGGCGCCTTCTCCATTTCGAATTTACTCAGGATATTTTGAAAGCCAAAAGATATTCTACTCCCTCGGGGTAGAATGAAACCTCAACTAAAATTAATTTTACGAATCTAAATTTTAGGGATATAACGTTTTCAACCCATAGATTGATCTCAATAAAATAAAAAAAAATCTAATTGTACCATCTATGCACTTGAAAAATAATAATGTCTTGAGATTGAATAAAGGCCGTCTAATTTTTAGATGGTGAAATCTAAATGTTAAAAAAATTAAATTTAAATTATTTTTTTTAGAATAATCATGTAGTAATTCTTAAGTGGTTTTCTAAATTTCAGATTGAAAAAATTCTACCCCAAATAGATCTTTTAATTGAGGGAGTAGAAATAAAGTATACTTCCAAAGAAGTATAGTATACATTCCCATTTTTGTCAATTGCATAATAATAATAATAATAATAATAATGAAAAGGGATTTGCCTCCTTTGTAATTAGAAATTGAAGGAAATGTTTTTTCTTCTTGTTTTTTTTTTTGTGTATGTGTTTCTAGACTGCCTTGTAGCATGATTTAGCATGGTCTTCTCTTGATTAGATTGTATAAAACTCTTTATACCTATTAACCTCAATGGATTTGGTGTGGACTAGGAATTATTAGGGAAAAAGAGAGTCAAAACTAAATATTAAGAAATATCCTAAGGCATAACTCGTTTTCGTTTTTTTCGAAGTATTTAACTCTTTCGACTCAAAAAAGTTCTAATATACCATAAACTATAGAATTAAGGCGCACTTCAAAAATCTATAAAAAAAATAAAAACCATTAAAAAATTAAAAATAAATCTCCAATCCCAAAAATATTTCATTTTACAACATACATTATTTGGAACGTCCATTTCCAAAATTTTTCATGCGTTTATAGATCTGCTTCATTTGAACATTTTTTTATTTTAAAATTATATATTTAGAGATAAAAATAGATTAGGGGGCCATCCTAAAAAAATTTGACACCAAAATTACATCTTATGATAAAATTTAGAAGTGTGTCTTACTTTATTTATTGAAAAAACATACAGAGGTCATTTACCTTTGGTACAACCTTGTGCAAACCCCACCCTTTAAATAAAGCCAACATTGGAAATCGACAAAAGACGGCTGGGGTATAACGGTCAAAAGAAAGGACGGCTGGGATATGTCCCCTAAATGTAGGGATCACAATTGTACTCAATGTTACACACCCAAAATGGGAAGCATATTGTGACCCATATAATCATTTTCTGATAATAATTTTTAAAAAAAAATATGATGGAAAAGACAGGTTCGTTTGGGGGGACACAAAATGTTTGGGCTCGCATAAATGAGGGGGTAGGTCATGTTTGTTTGATTTGAGGGACCTACTTGAAAAATATGGTTTGATATGTGCAATAAAAGGGGTGAAGAACAATGAAAAGTGTGGGTTAGGTTTGATTTGTGGATAAATTTGAACGTTTGTGCTGATATGTTGGTTTGATTGAAACAAAAAAGTTTATTGAGTATAAATGAAAAAGAAAGATTTGAGGAAAAACTTTAATGTTTGGGGATAAAATAATGGGTGGTTTGTATGAGGTTGTACCTTTTTTCTTTTTTTTCTTTTTTTTCTTTTTTTTTTTGACAAATGTTATAATTTTTATTGATTGAACAACCACATAAAAGAAATTATATCATCAAAATTAGAAATATAAGGTTGTGACCTTAAACAATCTAAGTAAGGTGCAACTCCAAAGTTTATCATAAGTGTAATTTTGGTGTAAAAAATTCTGGATAATCTTATAATCCATTTTTATGTCTAATTATGAATCTTTGAACTTGAAAATTTATTCAAATTAAGTATATCTATAAACACATAAAAATATTGAAAATTGACAGTCCAGATAATGTGTTGCAAGATGCACGATTTGTGTACTCGAAATCTTTTTTTTTTTTACATATTCATACATCTCGATGTCGAAATGATCATTTAAAAGGTTCTTCAACATCAAAACAAACCTTTTCCGATATATTTTCAAGGTGCACCTTAATTCTACATCTTAAGGTTGGGACATACTTTTTTCCTAAATAAAGTGCAATTGTGCAATTTTTGCTTTTAAGCCAAAAGATTTTATACTTCTACGGGAGTGTTATGTGAATTTACTCCCTTGGGTAATTTTGAGAACCCCAATTTTTGGGGATGTAACATCTTCAACCCATAGACTAATTTTGGCAAAAAAAAATGTTATGAAGTGAACTCTTTATGTACTTGTAAAAAAATAATGTCTTGATATTGAATAGAGACTGTTCAATTTTTTAGGGCAAGATCTAAACGTCAAAAAACTCAAAATTTAAATTTTTCTGCTTTTGGAAATAATCATCTAGTTATTTTTAGGTGGTTCCTAAAACTTCAAACCAAAAAATTCCCCTCAAGTAGGTTTTTTAAGTAAGGGAGTAAAAGCATATTTACGAAGCTCAAACTTCAAAAAAAAAATTATCGAACTTTGTAAGACACCCAAGCTATTGGATTTCACATCGGGTGGTTGTAAGTAACTGTGACCTTCTTGCATCAAAGGTAAATCATTTCACATCTAACGGCTTTTAACAACTCACTATACGTCGATATTTATGGTCCAAAGATCAAAAATATAAAATAAACATAAATAAAAAAGGAAAACTTATGCATATATCCCGTTTTATTTTTATATAAAAAATAGTTCATTATGTTTCATATTTTACAATCAATGCCTATTTTTTAGAACACAGATATATTTTAATTATTGGAGCCGATAAAATAAATTTATCGGATATAATTATCACTTAAGATATCATTCAATGTGGTAAATGGCTAGAAAATTTGTAGAGGAGCATGTATAGTAAGAGGTCATTTGGGTAAAGCACATTGGAATGCCAGCAAATGACAGGGCTCTCCTTGGCTACAAAATTCTCAAAATCATTGCCAATAAACATATAAATTTTCATAGAGTTCCATTGCAATCACCTTATCTTTATGGAGGAGTGATCAATTGATTTGTATCCAATTTGTATAAATTTGTATCCATGCAAATGTAGTGATCCATTGGTTTTCTCATACTATCTTTTCGAAGGGAGACAGTAATGGTATTATCTATAAAGAAACCATTTATATTTATTACAAGGAGGTTACAACTATTCTCATTTATTAGATGTCAAATTGGATGGCCTAGGGCGAGTCACGAAGTTCGATAATTCCTTTTTGGAACTTTGTTTCTATTCAATGACACTCTTACATCCACCTATTTTGAAATTTAAAGGACAAAAATGATTGTGACCTCCTTATAAATAACTTAAATGGTCTCTTTGTAGATAATCTCGACAAGAATCAACTATATAGATTATCAAGGAATTGTTAGATACACTGAGACCAGCTTGACTTCCAAAAACTCACGATTTCTCATCACATTCATCCTTGAGAAAAAAGAGTTTAAAATGTGAAGACCATCAGTTGCTCCAAAATAAATTACAACAAACATTCACAACATTTGCTTACTAAAAGCTAGAACAACCACCGGCAATCATCCATTAGAGAAAATGAGTGGGATAGAGTGACCATGTGTGGTGGATCTCACAGGTCCCTTTCACACCTTCGGGGCATGGCCACATTCGCCATAGCCTGCAAGGGTTATAATCCCACTGGGACACCTTCAGGGCATGGGCACATTCGCCATAGCCTGCAAGGGTCATAATCCCACTAGCACACCTTCAGGGCATATGGCACATTGGCCAAGGGTCGTAGTCCCATTAGGACCCTACAAGATAAGGGCTTTAAAGCCATGAGAACGTTTGTTTGGATATGTGACCGGTTCCTATCAGATTCCATATTTTGAGAATATGCCGTTTATTATGGCAAACTTAATGTTTGCTTCGTCGTTTTTCCACAATTTATGAGGCGCGAGTTTTAACACAAGCCAATAATGCCAAGGTTAAAAACCTAGAAAATCTTTAACCAAAGGTAGCTAGTATCTCTAAGCTTTGAAGTAGGGAAGTGTTTCGAATATCAAGACAAGGTTGGGCAAAGTTTAATTGTAAAATGTTTAGGGCTTTTCAATGACAATTAATTTTATTGGGAATAGGCTATCGTATCTCAAGTTAATATATTCTAGATAATATTATTTTGTTAGTTGTTTGGTACATATCTTATATTATTGCTTGGTATGTACCTTGTGTTATGTATAACATTAATTAATTACTTAATTTTTTGAAATTTTTTTAAGAATTTTTAACTATCTCTAGCATAAAACATGTGATTTTCAGCGATCACATTGGGTAAATACTAAACTACCACTACAAAGTAAGTTCTGAACTACCACTATACTGTAACATAACTGGGGAGAGAATTCCTTTTATAGTGGGTTAGAGCCCATAGCACAACCAACACTTGTTCCAAACCACGCCAAAAGAAATCGGGCTCAACCTAAAATCCATTTTCAGTTATTCATTTTTTTTTCCCCTTCCTTCTTCTTTTTTTCTTTTTGTTTTGGTTGCTAGTTCAACTGCAAGATGCGAAATTGGGCATAGTATCACACTCGTAGTATCACAGTCGGCCAAATTCCTCATCTTGATGAGATTTAAAATTAGCGTATTAGTTGGTACAAACCAAATTATTTTACAAGTACTGCTTTATGAAGAAATGTCTTTTTTACCAAAATCCAGGATGTGTAAATGAAGAGCCATTGCATAAATTACAATAATATTATTTTCTTTCTCCACACTCAGCGCTGCTGTTACACTTAATTTATACTTTTTTTCTCTTCAATATTCAAGTGAGAAATCAAGAGAGAACAGATCCATGTAGCATCAAAATTTTGTCATATAATTTTCTAGACGATTATTTCCCTCGAGGGTAAATCTTAAACTTCCTCTAGGCTTACATATTGAACATAATTTGTCCAACAAAAATAAAGTTCCTTTACAAAGCTGAATTAAAGTACCACATATGCTGTCAAAAGTTCAACAAGACAACCTCAACCCCACTATTTATGGCAGATAAAAAGAACCAGCCCAAAATATCTACCTGATCTGCAAAGAATGCAAATCATAAATTACCAGGGCTTCAAACCATAGGTGGTTTCTGCAAGATATAAATGGGACAGAAAGCCATAACCAGCAAACTATAGAAAACTGTGGTCTATTAGGTTCATGACTGTCTAATGAAATGGAGAGAGAGAGAGAGACCCAGCATTGCGGTCATCTCTACTGTTGGGTATATGGAGAGAGTCAACATTCCGTCCATATATATATAAATAAAATATATGGTCAAGTTAGTTTTTGTTGAGGCATATTTTGAATTGGTGAGATCAATATACGTGCAATTGATTGGGAGTAAACACTCGTTCCACTCAAGTAGTTGAAAATGCACAAAGCACACATCTAGTTATGTGGATCAACCATATGCAATATCACCAAAGTAGGCAGTGATTCCTTTCAATTTACCCTTCACATAATTCTCTTCAATCTGGAAAACAAAAACCAGAAAATACAGATCTAAGAGCAATCATCAGAAAATACAGATATAAGAGCTACCATGAGATAAGGCAGAGAAAGGTAAAAGAACTTAACAAAGAACCAAGATACACACAATATAATATTTTATTCCATTCCCAATAGTCTCAGTTTGTAACCCTTCTACTGTTTCAGCTTTTGTTTCTTTAAACAAATCCTTCTTCCCAATATGCCCAGCACTAACCAATCATTTATTGTTATCAATATGCAGACAATGAGAGAATGGCCTGGGGCCTTGGTGGTAGTACTGCCAAGCCCTATGGGGAGGTCTCTGACTCCATTCTCACCAAAGGGTAGGGGGCCCAACCTACTGACATACCACTTTTTGGGAAGGGGTTAAGGTTGTGGTGGTAGCACCCCACATCCTACTCACCACATTGTGGTTTCCATTCCCACCACTAACACCACCCACTAATACCTTCTAAAAAGCTAACTCCTAATCTACTTGAAAAAACGGGTAGGAGCCTGTCTTGCCCACTGAATTCCCAAAAAAAATATGCGGACAATAGAGGAAACAACAAGTCAAATAAAAAATATCAAACAGAGGCCAAAAAAGTAAGGGAAGGTAATACCAACATGAAGAATTGTGTGAAATACTCCAAGAGGCATCAGCCATCCAAACTCAATGACTAACTGTCGACATTCACCTAGGTATAGCTAATCTCCACCATCCATCATAGGAAGCAGGCAGTGGATGTCACTTTGGAGTACTATATATAAAATAATCCATTGGATTAAGGGGATACATTTCCAAATGGAGATCCCTTTGAAGTAAATATGTAACCAGCCTAAGTAGCAAATACCAAAAACCCAGCACACAACTAGGTCTGATCCCCTATGAATTATCTCATATGCACATAAATACAAACATGCATTCATGTCTATAAAACTCTTTTTGCTTATATATGTAACATTTTCCCTCTATTACTTTCAAAAAAGAAAACAAATAAATACATAAATTATTCCCCTAATCCAGCAAACGACAAGCATCCAACAGTAATACAAAGGGAGTACAGGCCCATTCTGGGGCCTTGTAATTAACATTTACTCAGAAAAATCAACCGTTGGGTCAAGAAGGATAGCCGTACCTCAACTTCAAGAGGAGGAGAAGACAGCCATGACAGCTCTTCAACTTGATTTACATCTACATTTCGAGGCAAAAACATTATGATATTTGGAGTTGTTTTTTGAGCCACTTGGAAGAGTGAATATCTGCAGAAAAGTAACATAAAATAGGCGATGAAACAAAACCAATTCAGTGATCAAAGATTCAAAGCAGTAGTTTACAAGATCATAAACTCCAAACAATGACTCCAGATTGAAGGTCACGATGGAACAGCAAGTCATGCATGTCCCATAAAAGTTGAGCAGGAAACCCCATTTCATTTATATGAAACGATAAAACTTAGATCTATAATACCGTAATCATACTTGTGGAAAGTTTCAGCAGCGAATGATGTAACGAAAAATGATAAAAAAAACAACGGAGAATTCTAAAGGGAATAATGCTTTTATTGTATGAGGAGTTTTGGCAAAGTTTTATGTTGGCTGCCTACCAAACACAACCCAGCTCCTTAACCCGGGCTTGGGACGGGTTAAGGGAAAGTTTAAGGTCCTCACCCTTCTTAGGCCAATATATTTTATTTATAGTAGAATCAAAATGTTCCCCATTCCACATACAACGCACATAGACTGATCTAACATATGCAACCCGCCAAACACAAAACTTTCTACAACAAATGGCAAATTTGAAGTGACAATTGTATTTTCAGTTACCAAAAATCTACCCTTCATAAATCCCATAAAAATTACAAATAATAGGGCTCTATGTTGGCTTTGCTACAATGTTAAATGCAAGATAAAAAGAAAAAAGTTTATGAACGATAATTTCCCCTCCACATTCGTACATGTGCACAAAAGATTGGAATACAATTCATGGTAATATACAAATATAAATGACAGAGATACCCTCAATTACAACCACATATAAATAGGTTTACTCCTAACAAAATCAATTCTCCAAAAGAGAAAGAGAGAGAGAGAGAGAGATAGATAGAGAGAGCGAGAGTATGATTTCACGATAAATATTCTTATAATAGGTATATAGGCTGATTAACATTAAAAATATTATAGGTTCAAACATCAAATCCCATATTTTAGGTTCGACAGAATTTCAATTGTAGATAGGGCAGCCAGCATAAAACTCTGCCAAATCTTGTCATGAATCATGAATATATGAGCAGAATGGCGGAATAGGATTCATACAGCCGACCTTAAATAGTTGGGATAAAGCTTAGATGATGATGAGAATTTCAATTGTAGATCTTGTAGGTTTCATCACGAGTTTGCTAAATGCAAGATTAGTGGGTTCAGATTTAGGGGAAATGCACGAGTATAATGAATGGGCCATGACCTTAGAGAGAGAGAAAAGGGCCATGACCTTAGAGAGAGAGAAAAAGAGAGAGAGAGAGAGAGAGAGAGAGAGAGAGATCGTAGAACAGTAGTTAGTTACGAAGGAAAGGTAAACGTACGTACCTACGTTAGAAGTACGAGAGGAGGGAGGGAAGGGAAGAAGAAGAAGAA